AATGAATGAATGAATGAATGAATGAATGAATGAATGAATGAATGAATGAATGAATGAATGATGAGTGAGTGGATGGATGGATGGATGAATAAATACACCTTCTACAGCATTTGGGATAAGGTTTTCTTTGTAGGAGATAAGCTCTAATATAGGAGGTTCCTGAGTGGCTATAAATGTTTCTATCTTAGTGAATGAGAGAATTCATAGACCAGCCCTCTGTTCGCCCCCCCCAAGCCATTTGCAATAACAAACATGAAAATCCTTCTGAAGCGATCTGTAAGGTAGTCAACTCATTTCTTTTTGTCCTTAGAGTTGGCAACTGACTTTGTAGTCAACACAACATTCACTTCACTATCATTTCCAAGGAATATTTTATTGCTTGGAATAGGCCATGCCTCATTCTGCTAAAGAAAGAAATGTGCATATGAGCGCACATGTGATGAGTTTCTATTTATATGTAATAAGATATTAGAGTCAAGTAAATATAAACCTGGTTTACATGTTACACTGTGCGCCAAAGTTTGCTTAACTGTGGTTGAAAAAGCTGTTGTTGTCTGGGTTCATACATGCTGGCCCATGGCTTATAAATGACAGTGGCTGGGTCCACTTAACCCGCTAAGCAAAAAACCAACAAAGCCGTGTTGTGGCTAACTGCAATGTAGGAACCTACACATATTCCCCTGGGGTGTTTTTTTGTTGGGGGTTGGGTTGCATTTTCAAATGTTGCAGTAAGAAAAATATTTAAATATCAGTGACTAAGACCAATATAAGAAGTACATCTCTTTTCCTAGGATCCTCGAGGGTCTCGGATGGTAGAATGGAAAAACCTCAAGCCAATTTGTTGTGGTGAGTTTTAGACTGTCACAACTGAGCATCCCACTGCCCAGAGCTTCAAAGAGAAAGGGTGAGATGCAAATTGATTCAAGAAATAAGGATGAATCCTTTGGCTCTTCTGTTTTCTGGTTATGATCCATCAGGAAGTTGGTCCACCAATTTAGCTAATCTCCTCTGATCTTCCTTTTCTCTGGCAGGCATCCTCAACATGAGTTTCCCTTTGTCTGATCAACCTGTGTTTGGAGAATGGTTTATATTTGTAGAAATGCAAGAATACGTATACAACAAATCATTTGAAGTTCAAAAATACGGTGAGTGAATAGCAGAGCTGTTAGAACTTGTTTTGGAAACACACTATTTTTGAGATGTTATAATCATGTCGGAATGAGTACAGAGTTTAGGAGCGTCGGTGGAGCAGGGTCAAAAAAACGAGACAGCAGCTGGGGCTGCACAATTGAAGCCCCCTCCATGGATGCCCCTAGATAAACAGTTTCTAAAAAAGACATGCTTTATAAGTTGTTGAGTTGGTGGTGCTCAAGTTATTATTCTTATTGTGGTTGTCAGAAGTATTTATATATGTATTGTATTCATTCATTCAAAACACTGGTCTTGCATATCAGTCAAGAAAGAGAGAGAGCTCCCATTAGGCTGAGCACTTTTCTCCTCACCATCATTGCAGCTTTTTTTTAAACAAGGAGTTGTATTAAATGTAACTTTAAAAAGTAAACCAGGATACCATTTGAAATTATCCCACTGAAATTTGGCACAATAAGCCTCCTAACCATATGAGGATTTCTGTGTTTCTTCCCCCACCAAAATAAGAAATAAAATAGTTACACCAACTGAAAAAGTGCCCCCTGATCCATTTTGGGGTGGGGTGGGGTGGGGGGAGGCGTTGTAATTAGCTGCTGAGAAAAATAAGTGACCCAACCACCAGTTACAAAAAGATTTGCTGTTTAGCTGAATCATTGTAATGTTACAGCTCTTCTGTAACATTAAATTAAATCTAATTTAATTTCTGTGGAATTTCTTTTTAAATGAATTATTTTGGAAAGTTTTTTTTCAGCTATGCTATGGCATGGTATCAAATCAACCTTAACAGGATTACCCAAACACGTAGTTGAATGTTAGAGATATATTACATTTGCTGTACAGACACTGGCTAGTTTTTTCCCCTTTTCAGGTGAGGTTTCCAGCAGCTCCTTGTCTATTATAGATCTCTTTATATTATAGATCTATTATAGATCTTGCCACCCTCTTTTCAGGGCATGGATTCCATATCTCAGTTCAACTGTTTTCTTTCATCTACATCAAGATGGCCTCACTCATCCCACTTCTGATCTATAGATCACAATCAGATTTCAGAATCGTTCTCCCTCACTTTTTCTCCTCCTTTTAGTTTTACCCAGGTTTGAGCTGCGTATTGATCCACCACGCTACATCCGGGACCTTGGGGTTTGTGAAAAGGGAACTGCCCATGCCAGGTAAGAGTGATAGGGCCTGGTTCCTGCTGCCCACTGGGGTGACTTCCTACAGTTCCTGTTGACATCCCTGTGATTCTCCTGAAGTGTATATCCAGAAAAAGATTTGTGGAATGGGCCATCATTGATAATAATTGTGTCACTGAACTTAGGACAGATAACCTTCAAGGGCCATCTTCCCTCAGAGGTAATCTCTTGAGGGCCATGTGGGCTATGCTGAAGCAAACAACAGATATAGGTAATGACAGAAATAAGTAAGAACAGCCCTTTTCTGACACATTCTTGTTTCTCTTTTGGACACAAGCAATAGGCTGTGGGAACAGGAGAAAATAACCTAACCCTTGGGATTTTTTCTTGGGGTCTTTCTCAATATTGGATGGGCTTCCTTTAATCTTTGATTTCTGTGGTCTTCTCATAGTACTGCCTAGTTCGTTGCTCTCAAAGCTCAACTGCTAGGCTAATTGGCCACAGGCCTCCTAGTTGTGGCTTCCTTTATTTTCTGCAAGAAGGGTTGGGGAGCTTTGCTCTGAATGCAAAGGGTGCCAGCTTTTTCTTCCTGGGCATCTTTAATGAAAAGGTATCTTGGCAACAGGTCTGGAGACCTTCTGGAGGAATATCGCAAGTCAGAGGAATGTGTGCTAAACTCAATGGCTCGAACTGTCTGACTGGGTATTGGAAAGCTTCACATGCATGCAAGTCAAGCTTGGAAATGAAAGAGCAACTGCTAAAACATAATAATTGTTGAACTTCTCCTGTTCCAGGTACACATTTGGGAAGCCAGTGACAGGGAGGCTGACTGTTAACATGACAGTAAATGGAGTGGGGTACTACAGACATGAATCAGGACATCCTGTTCTTAAAACCACTGAAGTGAGTAAGGGGGAATAAAGGACAAAGGTGGGGCATGTTTTGGTGCTGGGGAATAGTATTTAACAGTTTTATTAAGTAATAACTTTATTAATTTTTTTAAAAAAGAAAAACAAAAAACTAACAGACTAATATTAACAAGAGAGTATAGAAAGAAAGGAAGAAAGTTTAGAGATAAGAGATGTAAACGATTAAAAAGTGTGAAAGACAAAAAGAGAAGAAAAGAATCAAAAAGAAAAAAAAGAATTAACTTCTCATTCTCCTCACAACAGATATAAGTAATACTATACATCCAACTCTTACTCTAAAACATAACTTCCATTATTTCTATTAATCCATATTATTTCTAATCGTCAAATCCATACAACAAAATTTCATTTTTTTCGTATCTCTCAAAAAGTCCAAAAAAGGTTTCCAAGTAGTATTAAAATTACACAATGTCTTATCTTGAATCAAAGCTGTCAGTTTCGCCATTGAAAAACTAACTCCATCAACTTCACCATCCATTCTTCCACTGTAGTGTCTTGTCCTTCCACCTCTGTGCATATAAGAGTTTTTTTCCAACTGTTTATCCAGGGAGTAACATTTAACAGTTTTAAGGGGGATTAGAACTCCAATGGATGACGTGATCATATAAAATGGGTGAAGCCAGGCCACGTCCATGGATTAGGCTTGGATTTACTGTTTTTCCCCTTTTTCTTTTTTTAGTGGGTTCATATGTACTTTAAACTGTGCCAAGCCTACTTTAGAATATAAGCAGCCATTTTTCCTCCTTTAAATGGCAGGAAATGGCACTTCTGGTTTTTGGCATTTGCGGTGTTAAATTTCAGAGAGGATTCCAAGGAAGTGTGAAAAAGGACTGCAAAGTCACATGTGGTTTTGGGGCCATGGATCACCCTCTTCTGGCATAGAAGAATGCTTCTAAAGGGAGCTTCCATTCCAGTCTGATACAGCCCCCAATATCCTAGACTGTAACATGCCAAGAATAGATGGTCTAGAATTCATCTAGAGCAGGGATAGGCAGAGATGTAACTTTTGGAATCTTCAGGTTCCAACAACTGAAGCTTCATACACAGTTGTGTCTAAGATCTGAAAATATGCAGTGTTAAGAGCACAGAACAGCACATGCTCCGTTCAGAAATGTGTTTCTAATAGCAGAACTACTGGTCCATTCAACCCAATTCTACTTCTGGTTCTCTTCACTACCTGGCATCCAGGGATATCCAAGGGAAGGGGGTCAAAAAGTCAAGATGGCAGATGCACCATTTTAAAATGGGATGGGGCTTCAATTGTGAGATCACAGGTGCTATCTTGACTTTCTGGACACCCCCGGCCCCCTGCAGATGCCCCTCTTAGCATCTGTTATTTATAACTCAGTTGATAGTTTATGTGTCAACATGCTTATTTAAAGGGGAAAAAACTGTTTTGTTGCCGGTATTAGTATTCAGTTGGGATTCAGTATAAGTTACCTGGAGTTAATGAATTGAACAAGTGAATCAAATGTCCAGATCTGAATGTTCTTGCCTCCTAGCAGCATTTTCACTGTCCCCCAAAGAAAGCAGGAGGACTGAAGGCCTTGGTTTTCCTGATTTTGGCTGATAATGAGACAAGTGATCTCCCTTCTACTCACAGTAGTTATGTTCCCCCTGCCACTACCACAGGTACATATAGCCTCTTTAATTGTTCACTTTTCTTTATGATGTTTCTGGCAGATTGATGGTTCTGCGGATTTTGACATATGTGTAAAAGACATGATGCCTGCAGATGTTCCCGAGCATTTCAGAGGTACTGTGAGCATTTGGGCCACAGTAACTAGCACCGATGGGAGCAGGCAGGTCACCTTTGATGACTCTACCCCTGTCCAGAAGCAGCTTGTTGACATAAAATATTCCAGAGATACTCGGAAGCAGTTCAAATCTGGTTTGCCATATAAAGGGAAGGTGAGTAGGAAACTGCAATGGGAAGGTTGTGGCATCATAGACTAGACTTTTGGTTAAGAGGACAGAGGAAATCCTGGTTTGGGGACATAATAACCCCATGGTTTTGGTTAAGAGTATGGAATATTCTGATGTTAAGATGACATAAATTGTTGCTCTCTCTGGGCTCATTCTCTCTTCCTGATTATGATTGACTATGTTCCATCAAGTTGGTATTGGCCTTTACTGACCACAGATAGACCTTCTCCAGAATGATTTGTGCCCAAATAGTCCCTTCCGGTCTCCCAGTGGTCCATCCATCACCACTGCAATCAAGTCCAGCCACCTTGCTGCTGGTCATCTTCTTTCTCTCTTTCCTTCCATGCTTCTCAGCATTGTGGATTTCTCAAAGGAACCTTCCTAGTTACCACACCACAGAGGTGCCCCACTGCGCATTTGCTGAAGATGTGTCCTCACAATGGAGCCTTTCTTTGTCACCAGCCCACTAATGAAGCAGGCTGGAATTGGGACAAGGTGTTCCAGCATGAAACTAGTGTTTTCCATCCTATGCCAGTAGAAGACCTTCTATGCAGACTTTGTAGATCATGTGGAAGAGGAGCCTTCAGAGACTGGAGATTTGCTGGGCTCCAGTTGGCTTCCACAGGACCATCCCCTCCCATCCAGGCTCTTCTATGGCCACTTTTCCTGTGGCTGCCAGAGGGAATGGATACCTCATCAGCACAGCCTGTTCTTCCTCCTCTCCTTTTTTGTTATGGGAATATTGCCTTTTGGGAAACCAAATGCAGGTCTTCCATGAGGTTGATATTGCCATTGGGGAAAAGCAAATTACCAATTCCACAGGACTTGCCTGGCAGCCCCCACCTCCCATTGTGTGCAAGTGCTCTACCCTGAATTCCCTCTCTTGACCCAATCCCCTGAGTTTTCAAGATAATGAAATATGAACCCACTAGAATGGCACATTTTATTTTTGGAGATGTGAAAAATTGTCCTTGCAGGTGGGATGGGATGAGGGTTGATGCCTCTTGATTTGCTTGGTCTTGGGGAAGGGGGATTGCAAGTAGACTTAAAGCAGCAGGCTGGGCAACAGTTCCAGTGGATTAAAATTGTTTAGCCCCCAGGGCTTAACGCAGAGCAACCTGGACTAAAATACACTGGTCCTTTGGCCACCTTTCCTCCTGGCTTTGTGAATGTCCTGATGAGAGATCCAGCATGGCTGGGGACTGCAGTGCCTTACCACCCTTTCCACATGCCCAAGCCAGTTGTTTCCCACCTGTCTGCCTTCTTAGCAGCAGCCCATCCTGTGTTTGATTATTTGTTTTCCTGCTAGTAGGTGATGTTGTGTAGAGGGGGAAGGACAACAAGGATTCTGCCCATCTCTACCGTGAGGAAAACCCTTTCATACATTATGTTAATTTGTCTCCTGATTCTTCAGGTTGAAGTCACTTATCCTGATGGGAGTCCAGCTGATGGAGTGACTGTCCGGGTAAAAGCGGAACTCACTCCAAAGGACAACATTTACACAAGCGAGTTAGTGTCCAGAGGCGGTCTGGTGGAATTTGAAATCCCCTCCATCCCCCCTGCTGTCCAGTACGTCTGGCTGGAGGTGGGTGAAAGCCCTTGATAGGATTAGTGGGCTGGAATTGCCATTAATCTCATCAAAGGCACATTTTGTCAATGGGGCAGGGTCAAATCTGGGGGGAGATTAGGTAGGCCTGGTCAAAATCTGCAAGATGAGTTGTGAGTTCAGAGTCTGCCCTCGACAGTGACTTTCCACTTTCCTCCCTTTCTCAAGACCAAAGTCACAGCCCTTGATGGGAGGCCTGTTGGAGATCAGTATCTACCCAACTACCTATCGATCAGCAGCTGGTATTCACCTAGCAAGTGCCACATCCAGCTTCAGATGCCAGACAGGCCTTTTCTGGTAAGATGCAAGGCAACTGTCTGCATCTCGTTTTCAGAATTTTCAAGATGCATCTGATGGGTTGCTCTGAGTCGGAACCCTTGCCTGCTCTTCTCAGCCTAGTGCACTTGGAATGACTAACATCCCAGTTGGGGAAGCTGGGCTGCGGCCAACATGCCTGCTTTGGCTGGGTGTTCCACTTTGGCTGGCTTTAGGAATTGATCTTGCTCCAGGGAAACACTCAACGGCCAGAATTCTTTGGCTGCCTTTTCTTACAATGAGACTGCTCTGTATCTTCGCATCCTGAGCTGTACTCTGTTTTGCTTTGCCCTGAGTATGGAGTGGATTTGGAAGATATGCCAAGTTTCAAGGGACCTAAGGAAAATGTGGTCTATTGTTTTGGAAGACATTTCCCTCAGCGGACATGCTGGAGTTCAATCTTTGTTCCATGCCATCACCTTAATCAAAGCCTACCTTCCCCAAACCTAGTGTCCTCAGATGTGTCAGACTACAACACCAATCATCCCAACCAACATAGCTTTTCTTGCAGAAAAGTTGCTTGGGTAGGAAAGGGAAGAGGTCTTAACAAACTTTTGCATGGCTGCAGCTGCTCCATTTCTCTTTCCAGGTGGGAGAGGAGGCATGCATTGCTGTGAAGTCCACTTGCCCGTGTAATTTCACACTCCACTACGAAGTTGTATCCCGGGGGAACATTGTTCTTTCAGGACTGCTGCCTGGAAACAGGACTCAGCAGAGGAGCAAAAGAGCCGCCGCTGCATCTTCTGGCAAGAACATCTCTGTCACTTACTTTCCAGGCATGACTGTGTGTTTGGGGCAGGGTCAGAAAGGACCTGGGATGGCCAGCACAGTGGCTCCCTTGGGTGATGGACAAACAGCCAAACCCCCTCCTGAAAAGCCCTGGCTTTATTAACATGTATGTATTTTCCATGCTATTTCTTGTTTAGACCCAACCAGTTCTTCTGTTCCAGAACTGAATACCTGCATGACTTCCATCTGCTTCTCAGTCACTCCAGACATGGCTCCGTTGGGCCGTCTTCTTGCATATTATGTGCGAGAGAATGGAGAAGGGGTTGCAGATAATCTGCAGTTTGCCATCAAGCCTTTCTTTGAGAATCAGGTATTCAGTATAGAATGACTAGTCGTGCACTTGGATTGTTTGGCAAAGGATTCTGGGTGATGGTGGTTCTTCCCTTTCTCCTCCTCCTCCTCCTCCTCCTCCTCCTCCT